ACAGTGACTAGAAACTAAAAGAAGATAATGCATCATCAATGAAGAAAAGACAGTGAAGAAACTAAAAGTAGATAATGCTGATGTAAATCATTGGAGACAAAATAATCTGAAGCATGTCAATAAGATCACACCTGTGCATTTTGGCCAGGAAGACCTCCAACTGCATCCCTTTTAACAGAGCCATCTCCACCTCTAGCAGACCCCTTAGTATCACCCTGTCAAATTTTAAGATGAACAAATTTCAGTCTTAATGTGAAAAGAAGGCAATAAAGAGAAAAAAAGGGATATGTAGTAATATAACTACCTCCAACTGCGATAGCAGAATTATCCCCGAAAGATTGATGCCGCAGAAAAAGAAGACACATAGTCCGATTAGGTTTACAGAGATCAGGAAGTAATGAAATAAAGAAATCTCTTTGTTAGATAAAAACCTGAAGCAAACTAATTTGCTTCAATAATCACTGAAAGAGAGGAAACAGACAGTAGAATCAGAACCATATTCCCCTTTCCATAGTTAATATTTTCAACGAGTCAAAGATACTGAAGCCAAAAACGACCAACTCATCCTAGAAACTTAAGCATAAACCAAAACCAACAAGCAAATGAGCAGAAACTGAAAGATCACCAACCTCCCTGTATCTAGCCAGGTAAATCTTAAGTGGTTCAATATAATCCTCAAATCCCAATGTTGCCATTGCCCACAACAAATCATCGCCATTAATTGTCTTCCTCTTCTCCTTCTGACATTTGTCACTGGCCCTGCAAAAGAACCAACACGCCACGAAAAAGTAGGTTATATCTCAAATCAAAAAGCCAACTCCCGAAAAAACAACTAATATTCAGGAAAAGAATCAACCAATTCCGCGAAACACCAAACAACAATCATAAAGAACTTTGATTCTCAAGTAGTGTAATTTTTTTCTGAAGCTACATCCAGGGTATTGGATTTTTTTTTTTCTTTAGAAAAGGAATATCTATCAATATGAACATTAACTTCAAACACTTGGGTTAATAACAAAGTCCTCTATCCTAAAAAGACCAATCGCAAATTTTAGAATACTAGCAAAAGGAACCAAAAAACACCAGTTATTTACTTATTTATTTCACGAAAAGAATACATGTCTAATCTCTGGTGTCATATTCATATTCGCAAAAACTGCGGGCAAGTCCCAGAAACACCGAAAATCATATTAAACACCTCATAAAAGCAGCTAAACTTAACAATCCTTGCTTTCAATAAGCAGTAAGAATCACAATTCACCAATGGCACAGCATTTCACAACAGAGGAAATTAGAATAGAACATAGAGACCGAAGGAATTTCAACTTACTCGCTGGTAATGAAGCTGATGAACTCGGAGACGCATTCTTGAACAGTATCCTTAGCGTCCTTGGCGATCTTGCCGTTGGGAGGCAATGCCTTCTTCATGATCCGGCTTATATTGGCTATAGGCAGGTACCTGTCCTGCTCCCTTACACCTGAATGCGGGCTCTGCTCTCCGCCGCTCTCGTGGCTCCCTCCTGCCGGACTCGTCGGTGCGTCCGCCATCTCACTAAATCCCTACATTCCCCACTCCCACACAAACACGGCATTTCATACATAGTTACATCAAAACACACCGATAAACGCATTCAAATCATACGTCTCAGGCATATAAACACACAGATTAAAAAAAAAAAAAAAAGTCGATTGCATAGGAAAAAGAGACACGATTAGCGTTGTTGACACACAAATTTAACACAAGGAGGTAGCGAATTTCCACACATGTAAAGATAAACACAGACAATAAAACACACACATCTAATACAAGACATGAATTAACAGCGGATAAAAATGAAGAAGCGAGAGGAAGAAGAAATCGAAACCCTATAAGAGAGGGGAGATGAAGTTTTAAAAAGAAAGAGACAGTGATTACCCGTGAAAACAGAGAGAGAAGGAGGAAGAATTTGTATTTGGCGCGCGTTAGGGAGATGAAATTGTTTTTAGCGAGAGATGAAGATCTGACGATGGAGAAGAGAGGGAGGAGAGAAGCTGAAGAATGCGATGATGATGATGATGATGATGATGATGAAGAGAGAGAGATGGTGAGAGAGGGGTTATTTCTTTTTGGTTTTTGGAATTTTGTTTATCAAAACCGTTGGTTTGGAAACGAGTGGTCAGGAAGAGGTGTTGGCGAGTTATTTATACATGGTTGGAGTCCCCACACACACACACACACACACACACACACACACACACACACACACACACACACACACACACACACACACCCCTGTTCCGTTACCATCTCCAACCAATCACATTTTTCTTAATGGATTCTGCAAAAGTAGTTCAATTTATATTTGGACCACCAGTTCACCAAAATCTTATAAATTAATTCCAAGATTTTCAGGTCATGCTCGTAGTAATCATTAATATAACCTAGTGATTGTAAACAAATTATAAAAAAAAAAACAATATGAATTGAAATTATGCTAATCTTTTCAGATTTCAAATTTTTAACATTTCCGATAATTTTTTTTCCATTTATAACATAAATTTCCAAATAAATTCCAAAAATAAAGTCTGCTCTTTTCAATTACATGTCTCCAATAAATAAACTATGTTTTACCAGAGTTTATTCAGAAGTATATTTAATTTAATTATAAAAATTAAAAGTTAATTAAGTTTAAATAAATTTTAAATGATATTAAAGTAATAGGTATTAGATTATATTAATGTTCATATTTTTGTAGTGCATTTTTAAATAAATTTTACAAAAAAATTAGTGCCTGCATAGAAAATTTATGCCAAATTTGACGTGTTGTGATTTGGTTTTTCCTTATATTCAATATTGTAATTTTTTTTTATTATTTAATTCTCTTGGTTTAACATTAATCAAGTAATAAATACTCTAAGACAGAGTATGCAACATTTTTTAAATAAATTTAATAAACTATCAAAATCATTATAGGTTAAAAATTGTTTTTTATTAATTTAAATATTTATTTATAATTAACATTATCAAATCACCTATAAATAGAAAAATGTATAACAACTTTTTTGTAAAATTCAAGTGGAAACCTTTTAATTGTCTTTTAGGCAATAACCACAATGTTCAGTATCAAATCCATAAGATCAAAAATAAAGAATACACATGCTTACCAATTAAACCCAATAGCTCCCTTAACTGGACGAACTCTTGAAATGAATGCTATGTCAACAAAATTAAGCCTATAGTGAGTACATAACAGTATCTTATATACTTGTCCAGCACAGTATCCATAATGATGAGAATAGGGACAATATGAAAATTCCAGTAGATGAGTAGACTTTCAGAAACATACCGGCAAAAGATTTACATGAAATATCTTGAATTTCTCTTTGAATGGTAAACTTATCTTCCATCTATCCTTAATTTGGTCCCCTAATCACTAATCATCAATAACCTGGAATAAGGTTCAAACCTGCTATCCAGTCGGAAAACAGGTTCATATCCACCCTCACCTGGGAATAAGGTTCATGAAGATACAAGCTGTTTACTCCTCATTAGGGACAAACCTGCAGTGTATGGTTTTCGCATGGCAGCCAACAAAGATGGTTAAGACCAGACAAGCCATGGTCTGCTAACTGAAGTTGCTTAACAAATATCCTTCCTTTGCTGCTCTCTTTGTAATCTCCTTCTGCTCCCGAACCAACATACAAGGAAAAGAAGAAAAGTATCATCAGTGCTCTTTGTCATGTTTCCTGTGCTGAAGTGAGAACTAAAATCAGAACATGATAACATGTCATGCAAAGTGCCATGGCGGAGCTTTATTTTAAAGAGTAGTATTCATTCCTAAAAGCAATTATTCCTCATGATACAATGAATCAGAAATGCAATTGTTCAGTTTAGAGGACAGTTCAAGTAAGCAACGGCCTTACCTGGATTCTTTTTGTTACCA